GAAGCCTCATCTCCAAGATTGCTTCCATACTCTCCATACGTTCAGTGCTGGTCAGAGTCACCAGGAACCGTGTGAGGAATGTGAGAACTCAGAGTACACTTAAGGGTCGACTGTAGAATAAGCCAGAACCTTCGGGGCTAGGGAGCCAGGCTAGAGATTACAGAGGGGCGTGTGGGGGAAATAATCGTTACATACTACTTTTTCTATGCTTCAGTTTCCCGTATGCTTGTAAACATATTACCCCACTGGATCTCACAACTTTGTAAGGTAAGTGTCTTTATTTCCATCTTCTAGAGAAATACCATGAGACGCAAGGGTTGTTGAATGTCATACTGCTGATGTAAGATTCAGACCCAGGAAATCTATCACTACAGTTCCTGCTCTAAAACACGATATACCGCTCTCCAATCAGAGATCATCTGTGGGCCCTTTCTCCCTCCCTGATAGTGTGGACACCCAGGCAGCTGCATACCCACTGGCTCTTAGAACTTAGGGGCTATGCTCCATCTGTGACCAAACTATATATGTACCACTTCCCCAGTCGATTTCATAACCAGAATCCAAATGTCACCTTGTCACCCAGTCCTATCAGCTGTAAGCGGTTATTCACTTTTATACCATAGGACACCCATCCTAAAGCAGGGAGCAGTAGAGGGAGGGGTGTGCCAGAGTTTAATCATTCTGTAAGGAGAGGAGCATTATTGACATAATATTTATGATTACTACAACTGGAGAGCTGCCATTGGTTTCTAAATGGAAGAAGATAGAGTGCTGAATCAACTCCATGGAAAACAGACATCAAACCCTGCAAACAGATGGCCAGTTCATAAGCATCCTAAGCCCTTTTGCTGTGAAGTTAAAGACTGGGTGTCCCACCCAGTGGTGGAAGGGTACAGACTGCGGCCAGGTTGTCTGCTGACCCTAGCGTAAAGCTGTTAGCTCCAACTCTTCTTTTGACCACGGCCTATGTGGGAGAGGCTGAGACCCCAAAGCATACCTCACACATTCCCACTCTCCAGTGGAAAGGAAGAAAACACAAGAATTTCTCTCAGGGAAAGGGGGTCAGGAGGTAGCAGTAGAACAAAGGGAGGAGGAATCCAGTTTTCAGTAATAGATGATTAACAATTTACAGGTAAATCACAGCAAATACAGATTCTAAAGCCTAGTATACTGGAAAATGAGCCAAAACTAACTACATATCACCACATAAATTAAATCAAATCATCTTCAATAGAATAAACTGATCATGCTCTTTAACAGTAACATTCAACTGTTGAATGATAACATGTGTGCATGTATGTTAGAATGAGAGAAAGAGAAGCACCTCAACAGGGTCTCCTCACCTCCTGATCCCCTTTCCTCAGTTCTCTAGCTCTTCAGGATCTTGGTTGCCTGCACTAGCAACCAGCATGTTTTCAGCCATCTGGGGATTCAAAACTGCAGTCACTATAAGGCTTCCAGCCTTGCAGGTTACCTGCATTACTGCTGGGCCGCAGCATATATAACTTTTTAAAAAGAACAATTGAGGGGGACCAGCAGTTAGCGTAATGGCTATGTTGCTGAACTCCCACATAGTCGACCACGGTTCGAGTCCCGGATCCAGTGGCTTAAAACTCACGCCGGGCACGTGTGCGTGCGTGTCCAAGATCCCGAGAAGAGAATGGAGAAGGGATTGTGGCGTGGCCATCCCCCCTGGGGGGTGATTTCTCGCTTTCTGTCTGTCTCTGTCTATCTGGTGAGCACACGTGCCCTATAGCAAAAAACCTCTCAAAAAATTTAAAAAAAATTAAAAAAAAAAAAGAACAATTGAGGGACTAGCAGTTAGCAAATGGCTATGTCGCTGGACTCCCATGTAGTCGACCGTGGTTCAAGTCCCAGACTCGGTGGCTTAAACTCACCCTGGACGTGTGTGTGTGCGTGCCCAAGATCCCAAGAGGAGAATGGAGGAGAAGGGATTGCGGCGTGGCCATCCCCCCGGGGGGTGATTTTTCACTTTCTGTCTCTGTTTCTCTCTGCTTTCTGGCGAGTCACCTGCCCTATAGCAAAAGCCTCTCCAAAAAAAAAAGAACAATTAAAACTTCATTCCAATCAACCAAGATGGTACATCAAGGAATCAGAGGAATTTAGCACAATGTCAAGCACTGCGTGGTGATCAAATTCTTGTTATTCAACTGAAGCCCTAAGTAACCTTTGGGAGTGGCGTGTAATTTATGGACATCTAGCTTAGTTAGTCCTAAATCACCTAGTAAGTACACTTTAGACACAAACACAAGTCGGCCAATGACCTGCCTATGCACTGTTCACCATTTCACAGTCCACCAATTGTCCTAGCCTCCCACTGGGCCCACACCACACTTTAAGAATCACAGGGACAGAGCATGTGGGACGAGGTAGGGTAAAATGACAGTGACTCCCAGCAAGCAAACATTTGATTAATATTCTCAAGTTTTTCTTTCTTTTTTTTTTTTTGGAGAGGTTTTCACTATAGGGCGCGTGCACTCACCAGACAGACAGAGACAGACATAGAGACAGAAAGCAAGAAATCACCCCCCGGGGGGGATGGCCATGCCGCAATCCCTTCTCCTCCATTCTCCTCTCGGGATCTTGGGCACGCACGCACACGCGCCTGGCGTGAGTTTTAAGCCACCGGGTCCAGGACATGAACCACAGTCGACTACGTGGGAGTCCAGCGACATAGCCATTACGCTAACTGCTGGTTCCCTCAAGTTTTTCTTTTTTGATTTAATTGACAGTGTGTGTATCTGTGCATGTGTGTGTGTGTGGAGTGGGGAGTAGACCCCAACAGGATATGGTCACACTGCAATCCTCTTTCCTCCATTTCTCCTTCCTGTCAGGATTTTGGAAACATAAGCACACACTCCTAGTGTTTTTTCAAGCTGCTGGGGCCTAGACTCAAATCATGTTTCACCATATGGGATTTGCATATATCCCAACGCATAATGCTTAACCACTGTAGCACAGGGCTGGTCCCCAGGTTTTTAAATCATCTAACATGCATGTCTGATTTCCAGTGTCTCTCCATTACAAACTAACCCTATACCAAGTCGCCGTATCTGTGGATGCTCACATATATGGCCAGTCGAGTGTGAGTCTTCCCAATCTATGCAAACGATTAAACCCCAAAGGGCTTTAGAGCATGATGAAACATATCCAGTATTATACAGTGATTACTTATGAGCATGAAACCTTAATTAAAGGCCAAATAAGGGTTAGTTATGAATGTCCAAGCATGACCTCTCTGACTGGTGGGTAGAGAGGCAGGGCGAGTGAGGTGTCGGGACCTGAGAAAACAATAGATGAACGGGGGAATGGAAGTGTTCCCCTAGGAACGCGGCTCATGGTGCACGGGGACAGGTGGATGGTGAGACCAGATAAGAGGTTCTAGACGTCACAGCAAGCAGCTCCACCTTAATCTACAGGCGTCAGGCAGTCACCCATCCCTGTGGCTCTGCTTTATTTACCCTCAGCCTGGTCCTATAGGGATATGAAACGGCTCACAAAAAGACATTCAAGGAGACAGAGTAAGTAGTTGAGGCCATCAGGTCAGAAGAACGAAGGCAGAAAAATAAAAGCTGAGAAAAGTTTAGTACTAGTTTAGTACACACAGAGGTGTTTTAGGGAGAATTCTGGTGGCATGGGTATAGGTTGGATGTTCCTCAGACAGCAGCCATATTGGATCCCAAACCCCTGAGTGGAGTTAGAGGTGAAGGCAGCAGATACAGCTCCATCCTACACTGAAACAGAGCGAAAATTTCTTGGTGATGACATGGGTAATATAAAAACAATGGTACTGATTCGACTTCAATGTCATATAATCTTCCTATTACTAACACAAGGAAAACCCAATTTCCATTCCTTTACTCACCTCTCTTCAATAAGGGTACTATCAAGCAATGAAATGAGTTACAGGAAGATGTCCAGAGAAAGGCACCAAAAGGGCCAGTCGTACACTCAGCACTGGGCAACAAAGATGGGCAGGTCGCATTCTGTCTGGACACCGGCTGCGGGCTGGCCTGGTGTGTAAGGCATGGTTTTCAGATTTCTAGCAGCTGCACATGAACTTATAGTTCACTAAGCCATCTTATCAGTCAGAAGAAAGTATTCTAACGATATAAGAGTACGGGACATTTAAGATGGAATATCTCAGCTTCAGCTCCACTCATGTTTTGGACCAGGGAATTCTTATAGGAAACTGTTTTGTGCATTACAGGACATGTAACAGCATCCTGGGCCGCTATTCCCTATACATCTCCCAGGCTGCGACAACCAAACTCCACATACTGCCCAGTGTCCCCTGTGAGTCAGCATTGCTCCTGATTGATGGTTACTGCTGTAAGGGATTCTCGATGGGAAAGTATGAGAATCAGCTTCGAAACTTTTAAAAGGTCACATACCCAGTCCCCATTCTGACTTAGTAGATCAGGGTGGCCTAGACATTTGTACCAGAATTCCCAGGACGTAAGGCTTAGACATGTGTTTTTAAAAGACCACAGTCACTTTTTTTTTGTTTGTTTGTTTTGTTTTTTTGAGAAATTTTTGCTATAGGGCATGTGTGCTCACTGGAGAGACAGAGACAGAAGTGAGAAATCACGCCCACTCCTCCCAGAGGGGATGGACATGCTGCAATGCCTTCTCCTCTAGTCTCCAGTCTCCTCCCAGGATTTTGGGCATGTATACATGCATGCATCACACCCACATACACCAAGTGTGAGTTTTAAACCTCCAAGTCTCGAACCATGGTTGACTATGTGGGAGTCCAGTGCCGTAACCGTTATGCCACCTGCTGGTCGCCCACAGTCACTTCTGATGATCTGGTTAAGAATTACTGCAGTTCTTAAGAAATGCTTTCAATATCAACTTCTGATACCATAAAACTGAAAAGAAAGGGTTTTGATGATATTTCACTGAGTTCTATGTCAAGCTGTTTTATTATATAAACAATGAGAATTTCCAGTCATGTAGATTAGATTCATACTCACTTGCTAGAAGCAGACAGGAAAGCGCAACTAGATGCAGCTGCTGGATAGAGATGTCATAGCGATCCATAAACAGGTCCAGCAGATAGACAGCCAGGTGTCGGGCAGAGGGGCAGAGCGTGAAGCGATTACTCACAATGGCAATCAAGTCAGCAAAATACCTTCGGAGACTTAGCTGAGGGGACTGGCCTTTGTAGGAAGGCAACTTCAGCTCCTAAGTGCAAGAGGAACGACATTAAGTCTGCCATCTCCACAAGTATCCCCATAATGCAAAGATTTAACATTGCTTTTCAATATATTAGTGTTACGGGTGCCCCCACACACATTGCTTACGTGGAACGCTCAAAATGAAACAGCTCAGTGGAAGGCTAATGAATGTCATAAAACCAAACTTCTCTTCTTATTCTCAACCACCTCTGAGGTGACCAACTACGCGTGCTTCTTAGAGTGGATACATTTCAGAAAGGTTTTTAATAAGGGAGTTCGGTTTTTCCCTACCAAATGTTTTCATAAAAACATTCTTACCCAAAAATACCAACCAGACTAAACATACACGCACACACGCGCACGCACACACGCGCACACACACCCCTCTCTCCAGAAAGGTCGGTGCTCCTAGCATGCATGCTGTATCAGATTCGCAGGGATGTAGGGAACAGTACTCGTCCACTAGTGTCTTTTAGTCTTGTTTCCATTTTTTGGCAGTTTTATAATCCCTCCTTTGCTTCACCCTTTCATGTATCTAAAAATTTGCCCAGCATCACTGTTCAATCTTAGAACTATATTATAACAAAGCATTTTTTTAACTGGAAAATTTCTATACTATTGAGAGATTTCCAGAACATAGGGAAA